AGAAGAAAAAGGACCTGAAGGAAAGACCTGATAAACATGGGTCGGAAAATTAATATTGTCCAAGGTATGGGCAATTATTTACTTCAATTGAAGCAAGTGACTTATTATGTATGTAATTATGTATACTCACTTATGTAATTTGTCTATGTCATTCATCGGTGAAGAGAGTACCTGCTTTAAAGGAATCCGTCCCTGAAAAAGTCTCTTCGCTCTTGCTCGGAATATGAACAAACAGTTTTGTGAACAGAGTGAACAGTTGCAGAGAGCTGTCACAGAGTTTTCACAGAGTACGGTAAGAATGAGGTCGTATCACTCTAATCAAAAGATAGCAGAAATGCGTTTCATGTATGGCCGTGCTCCAGAAGCGAGTAAGTCGCTTGCTTTAATTAAAATAAATCATTGTTTATAACTTCGACAATATTAATTTTTCGATCCATGTGTATTAGGACATTTTCCCTCTATTTTGTGTGTACTATCTGCCCTTAAAATCCTGAACCCTTCTTTTTACACACCCTGTATAAGCACTAAAAAAGTGGGGCACTTTTTATCCCACTACGCCCCAAAGAATTGAGGATCCTCCCGCTGAGAGCAAAGTGGTTGGTATTGATGGACTGTAACCGAACAGTGAAAGTATTTTGATCGGGAGAGCCGTTTTTGCAGCGAGCTTTATACTATTACAGCGTTAGTGAGAATAATCTTGCGTGTTTATTTTTGTACTAAGTTGTACTAGAGGGTCAGCATATAATCTTAGGCATACGTTGCTGCCGCTGCTACTTTTTCGTTAGAACAGCAAGGAAATTTAGTTGAAAATAACGAGATCGAACAGTTTCTTGTTCTCCAACTTCTATCGCGATGGGAGCAAAGTATTTGGTATTTGTGCCTATATAATCGCACAGTGAAAGGGAGTGTCATTTTTATAGCAAGTATTACGACCCTTCTACAATAGGCCATCAGTTTTGAGCCACGAACAAATCGACCAATCACAATCGATTCTAAAAAATATCCCAAGAAATAATCGATCGATGGTTAATTTGCTTGCGGCTCAAGACTAACTCAAGACTTATTGTAGAGTCCATTAGTGATAATAGCTTTACGTATAGTGACGCTTTACAGTATCAGTGATAATAACTTTGTATGTACGTTGTTATCGTCGCTGCTTTCTCGTCAGAGCAACAACAGGATGAAATTGAAAGTAGCGATAATTTTGTTCTCGTGAGATTAACCAGTTTTTTTCCTCGAATTCATCCATCACGATGAGAACAAAGGGTATCCTCCGTTTTTGCGGTGAGTATGATGTGACGATAGCCTATGTTATACGATTATATTTATAACAAGATCTTACAACGAGAAGATACGGCTGGCGCCGAAAAGCGCCAGCAATTTTCAACGAGACGAGCCATTCTTTTCTTCCTCAGCGCATCGATCGCGATATCAACCGCAAGCAGACGCGCAACGCTCGTCGCGACGACGACCGCAAAAGTTGGCCCGCCTTCAACAATTAGAAACACGGCACGGAGACCAATCGGAGACGTCAGTGGTACGGTTTTTATAACTGTTGGTTTTATACCAAGGTTTTACGCCATTGACGTTTCTCTCATCGGCATCTGGTATCTGTAATAATCGCAGTCGAGTCGCTCTTTGCGATCATAGGCATGGCGAACGTTGCCTTTACTTGACACTGAAATAAATGTAAAAGGGCCTCTATGCTCTCATGTCTCTGCATGCGAAGTAACGAAGGCGAGGCTGCGACGAGCGCAATCGCACCTCTGTCCCTCGTCGTTCAACAGCTTAATTACAAGTTATAGAGTGACGACGGTCGCTCGGTCAGTCGGTCGGTTGGTCAATCGATCGGTCGCTGATAACAAGTTGCGAACATCATTAATGAAACACACTTATCGGCCCTCTCATGGGGAATCGCGAAAAGGCCCAAGAGAAGCTTCGCGATACCGAAGCATCGCAGATGTCTTTCAGAAATTGCTATTTGCGACGACTTGTTCAACTCTAGGAAATGCTGAGAGAGAAAGAGGATAATTGAGCTCGCTAAGATTATAGTCACTTTAGCGAGTGCTGAAATTATTTATTTCTGGCTGCTCCGACGAAAAAGTTCACGCGACTTAAATGAAAAAGATATATCGGGTAGTCGACTGATGTTTGAATTTTCCCGCGAGAAACCCGGTAAAGTTACACTCACAACAATGACGTATCGTAACGACACATAACCTCGCGTGATAATCGCACGGTGAAGGAATTGCAGTCAGAGAAACTGACTATTGCCGATGAATATTAATGATAGACAAAGTTCTGCGCATATTTTTGCTGCTAATTTCGATTAGAACGGCAAAGAGACGCGGAAATGGCCGTAACTCTGGCGAGACCCTTTCCCCTTGCCAGTGTGAGAAAATATGAACATTCTTCAAATCCGCAAATTTAGTGCATTGAGATAAGGAAATTGGACATTTCGCGGGATGCGACCGCGTGTATATTCGTTTCAAAGTCGATTACGCTGATACTTCCGACGTAATATCGCGTCCAGTGAATCCAGATCTTTCAGCACTCAAGATCATATCTAGCTTCTGATTGACTTGGTTATTATGAAGCTTTCACAGTCGGAGCGATCGCGAGTGTGCGTTCCGAAACGCATTAGTGAAATTCGCCGAGAAGCTTCGTGACCTACTTGCGACTTTTTGTGTGTTTACAAAGGCGTGAAATGGTTCAATTATTATGAATCGAAGCGAATGGGGCGAGCCGCGCAGAGAGAGAGAGAGAGAGAGAGAGAGAGAGAGAGAGAGAGAGAGAGAGAGAGAGAGAGGGAGAGAGAGAGAGGGAGGGAGGGGGAGAGAGAGAGAGAGAGAGAGAGAGAGAGAGAGAGAGAGATAGGCACAGGTGTTTGCCGGTACAGGTGTTCGAGTGTTAATTGCAGTCGCGATTCTGCATCGCACGGGCGAAGGGTTCGCGCGGAGAGAGATACGACGAGGCGATTCATAATTCAATTAGTTACTCGCTTATCTTTCCCTCTCATCGGGACAGATATAATCGATATGCTCATTTGTCGTCGCACGTACCGCGCGTTTATCTTCCGCGCTATCGGGAACGTATGATGATCGAGCGTGTACGTGTTTATTAGCCGCGCCAACAGGATTGGCTTGCGCACTCATGCCTGAGCGCGAATAAAAATTCTTCTAATCTAACGTTACACACACTATCGCATCGCTGTCTTAATTAATGTCTTGTGTACAGTGCAATTATTACTCCGTCGGGGATTATCTCCTTCTTCGTGAGTAAACATACGGGACAAAGCGACACGTTTTATGAGCACTGGTTATAAAAACACAACAAAAGTCATTCTCTTGCGAGCCTTAAGGGCGGATTCACACCTTGATGAAAAAGCAGAAAGGCGGCAGCCAATCACAAATGGCGCTGATTGTCTGTCTCTCTCTTGAAAGAGAGACAGAAGAGAAGGACAGACTATCAGCATCGCATGCGATTGGCTGCCTTTCTGCATTCTGCTTTTCCGCCTAGGTGTAAATCCGCCCTTAGAATGATTATTTTTCAACACCGTTTTCTAAAACCGCGTTCACGAGACTCCCAACGCCATTCCGTCGTCACCACGGCGTTTCATCGATTATTCTCTTTACCTTCGATAGTCTCGAAAGTGTGTTCAGGTGTTCGAGTAAAGTCCGCTGAACAGCGCTTTGAAATTTCAATAACGTCGCGTCCTGCAATCTTGTTGTAATAAAGTGCATGGAACACGATTGTAAATAGCGAGAGCGCCGAGAAAGAGAGAGAGAGAGAGAGAGAGAGAGAGAGAGAGAGAGAGAGAGAAAGAGAGAGAGAGAGCGGGCGTGACGTATCTCGTAATTATCGATTTATCGCGCGATACAACGGGATTAATTGGCTCTCCGCTACTCACACTTGCGGCCGCGCCTTATCTCGGATACCGAGTATCCGAGAGCGGAATGGTGTTATAACGACATCGGCGGCGTCGGGCCGCGCGGGGTATTGTTCTTAACAGTCGCGGCTGAAACAGAAGCGGCTTCGAGATCGACGTTAGACACGCTGCGTCGCTCGCGAATCAATCGAGAGAAAATTGACGGCGACTCCGTGAAAATATTGCTCTTATCATGATTCAGCCAGCGGGACGTGTGGCGGGGACGAAGAGTTATTAATGGGTTCGACGCACCCGGGGATTCTCTTTGTTGTTGGACGCTTCATGGAACAATATTTGCGCCCATACGTCTGCTGGAGAGAATCGTTGTTTTCACGACCGCAAATCGGTTGACACGCAGCTACCGTGCGACAGACGTCCGACTGAGCAGAAAAATGCGCGGCTAACTCCCCCCCCCCCCCGTGACCCCTGCAATTCTGCTCGGGAGAAATCCCGAAGATCTAGAAGGGATCTCTTCGAGCGCGGCGACGAAGCAGACGAAAGGTGGATGAAACCAGATTGAAAAGGGACGAGTGAAGTAATCAAGAGATGCAAGTGGTGTGAACTCTGCAAGTTTATGCGAGGCCTGCTCCGAAATAGGTTTCAGAAACTTTGGTTTTACTTATGAGGACGGTAGGCTTTACTAGTGTTCCGTAATTGATCAGCTGATCACGTTTGGACGTCCACAGTCATGTACTATTTCTGTTTATAAACTTCGTTTTAGCTGCTAATTTTGCGATATTAGATAGAGAAATGGACAAATTTTGTGTTACTTATTACCTCGATAATTGGTCAGCTGATCAGTTTAAAGCCTACCAACTTTATAACTAAAACCAAAGTTTCCGCATTTGATTTGAGAATAGGCTTGAAGTTGCGATCAAGGTTGAAAGATGATGCGTTATTTGCATCGTCGCTGTTCTTGCAAGATTCTATCGCGACAACAGCCGATCTCACTCGGGGACTATTCGGTACATCCCCCCGATCGCTAATGTGCAGTTTTGGGAAAAATCGACAACGGTCCACGCGATGACCTCTCGAGCGATTCGCTCGCTCGACTGCTCGAGTCCGTACTCACCGTCGATCAGAGAAGTCGGCACGTTCATCTGCTGATGATGATGCGCGGCGGCCGGGTGCTGATGGTGGTGCGGCGGGTGAACCTGCAGCAGGTGCGACCTCGATTGGGAGAACGTCGGTGACGGTGGCTCCCAAGGTCGCGCGACGCTCGTGCTGACGGGCGCGTCTTCATCCTGGCAGCAGAACTTGTCACTCGCCGCCGAGGCGGTCGTGCTCGCGCAGTTGGTCACCCCGTGGGCGTCGTTGCTGCTGTTGCTGCTGTTGTTATTGTTGTTGTTGCTACCGTTGCTGGCGCCGTTGTTGTTGTTGTTGCTGCCACCGCCGCCGGTGTTGTTGCTGCCGCCGCCGCCGCCGCCGCCGCCGCCAGCGCTACTGCCGTTGCTGCTGCTGCTGCTGACGTTCCCGTTGTTATTGCCGCTGTGATTGTTGCTACCGTTGTTAGCGAGGCGCGTGGTGGTCGCGCCCGTCGCAGGGCTACCACTACCACTAGCACTACCACTGACACTACCACTGCCAATGCCGTCGACCTGCACCATCTCGCCGTCGATCGCAGCCGCCGACTTGGCAGTACCAGGAGGGGTCGCGACGCCACCACCGATCATCATCACCAGACGTTCTTGCTACCTCCGCCCCCTCCACAGTCCTCAGCAACGGCTCCTCCCTCTCTCCCGCTCTCTTCCGTCGACTGTGCGGATGCAAGCGCGGCGCGTTTGTGTCCTCCGACTCGGGCCTGCTTCGGTTCCCCGTTTCGCGTTTCCGACGCTTCTTTCAGCCGCCCGCTGCGGATCTCCTCAGATCGCTCGAATGACTCAAGTGACCTTCGCGACGCTGCGCACGGAGGCTGCGCCGCGAGGCTGTTGATTGCGCGAAAGCGCGCGCGCGCGCGCGAGAGGGAGAGAGAGAGAGCTTCCGCGAGGTCAACGCGAGCTTCCTCGCGCTCGCGACAGACGGCCGAGGGCACGCGCGCTTCTCATCGCGCGCGTCTCGCACGCAACACTCTTCTTCGCTTCCACACTTCCGGCCAAGGTACCGAGGTAAGGTTTCAGTCACTGCGGCGCATTCTCTAGCCGCGCGCACGTCGACGACGACAAGCGATAAGAGTTCGATCTCGGCGAGAGCCTACAGCACCCGCTTCGCCGTGTCGCTCGCGAGCCCGTTGCCGGCGAAACGTGTTCCGACGCTCGCGGCCGTCGATGCTCCTCCGCGGAAGCCTCGCCTCATCCTCGCCGAGTCAGACCTCACACACAACTGTCACGTGTACGGCGCACAGCAAGTGGAGAAGCGCTCCGTCGGAGCGAGCCGTCCTCCGGCAGACACGTGGCCAAACGAGAACACACGATGACGATGACGATGACGACGGCGACGGCGAAGATGAGTGCGTGCGTGTTCCTGCAGAACGCCTTCGTGTCTCTCTCTCTCTCTCCCTCCCCCCTTTCTTTCTCTCTCTCTCTCTCTCTCTCTCTCTCTCTCTCTCTCTCTCTCTCTCTCTCTCGTGTCTACTCGCGCGATGACGGTCGCGGGCGCATCGCGACGCGAGCTTTTACGTCGTCGCCGCGGTGACGCTCGGGAGCTGCGGTAGTCGAAGTCGAGGAGCCGAAGGTGCGGAGTGTTGGAGCGCAGGCGCCTTCGACGAAGCTCGTGATCGCTTCCTCCTCCTCCTCCTCCTCCTCCTCCACCTCCTTCCCACCTCCTCCTCCTCCTCCCTCGGTCTCAGCTCTTCCCTCTTTGCGCTTTCTCTTCCTCCCGCGTCTCGTACGCTCACTCGCTCCTCCTCGCTCTCGTGCTCGCCCTCTCTCTTTTTCTCTCTCTCTCTCCCTCTCTCTCTCTCTCTCTCTCTCTCTCTTTCCGCCTACGGAGGCTCCCTTCTCCAATGACGGACACCGAGGACTACGCCAGCGGGGTAACCTGCTCGCACTCCGCCGGATTCGAGCGGATTGCCTTCCGCTCAGGGTTTCGAAGCGCGCCCAGACTAGCCTTACCCCCACCTTGCCCTTCCCGCAATCCGGTACTCGGCCGCCGTCGCTACTGCTCGCCCAGGTGAGATCAAGATTTAATGCGACGTGACTTGCCTCGTCGTTCCATATACGCGACCAATTCCCCGCCGCCCCTCTCGCGCCCTTCGCCGCGCCGCGGGCTTTTTCCCTTCCGGCGCGCACGGGTTATCGGCCAATTTTTCATCGGCGCGCCGGGCCTTCTCCCCTCCCCTCCCCTCCCCTCCTCACCGCGCCGTTCTTCGCCGGCCGGCCGGGGAGCGATTGGCCTTCTCTCTTTCTGACGACTCTCAGCCACCTGCCTTCGCATCTCTCGACCGCAGGACTGTCAAAGCGCGAGGGAGCCGGAGCTGGCGGAGCGGTCGCGTAACTCAGTCCCAATAATCGTATTAGTCGATTAGGCGCTTCTCCCCGTGCCTCCGCCACGCAAGGATTCCACCTTTTCGCGACGCGCGACGCGCGCGCGATCGATGCCACCCTTCAGCGGTAAGCAGAAGCTCGCACGAGCGTCATCGTGTCTGCCTTCGCTTCATCTCAGCGCGCGCGCGCATATTATTGGCTGTTTCGTCGCTATCTGCTGTCACACGTGACGCGTCCCTCGCCCTCCATCCTCCCTCCCTCCTTCGCTCGCCACGGAGGTAAGACCCAAATCGAGCAGGCGCCAGGGCGACCGCGGGCCCCGTTCGTCATGAAGGGTGGACGCCTGGCGAAATACTTGCGGGGCCGGTGCGAGGTATGAGAGGAACTCTCAGTCGATATACCCGGCGTCGGCAGGGCTGGAGGGGGGCGAGGTGGGGACGGGAATCGAGCGGACGGACGTCGTGGGGATGCTCGATAAGAAAGAGAGATAGAGTGACTGCTACCGGGGCGGGGAGGGGGGCCAGCGAGCAAGCGAGCGAGCGAGCGCGCGAAACAGAGAGAGAGAGAGAGAGAGAGAGGGAGAGAGAGAGAGAGAGCCGTTAAAGGCAGCCAAGTGCGCACCGCGAGCCGCGCATCTGAACTTACCCAACGCCCACCGACTATTACCGAGTCGATCGTCCAATTGGGCGACCCGGTAGCCGCCCACCGATCTGTCCGCTCGGCTCCGCGCGTCGCCCACGCTTTCAAGTGTGCGGGCTTTCCGCTCTTCCTCGCGCGCGCGAAGCCGCCGGCCTTCCTTGTCGCGCGCACGTAACGCGCGACCGTTGCCACGGCGAGCGCTGCCACGTTGCTGGCCGCAATTTCAAAATCGGACGTCGGTGTCGGACGCGGGGGCACGTCGCGGGGATAACCGATTGCTGCGATTACTCGGCGGCACCGACACGTTGCGCTCGCTTAGGTCCGCCTTGGCCTGGCCTGGCCTGGCCTGGTCTGGCCTGGCCTCACTCGCCTCGCTCGCACCCCGCGCGCGAGCGAAACTGGAGTACGAATTAATCGCCCGATAGCGCGCCAGCCCGCGATGCTTTTCTGTCCTATCCGGACATCGAGCGAGCGGGCGCTGCTTACATTACTGCGTACGCTGGGGATTATCGCAGATTGCTGGCTATTAGCCAGGGGTATGAGTATCTCGCAGGTGTAATCGGCTTCGCAACGACCGGCCATGTTCGCCTGCGCACCCCGCCTGCGCTGGTGTTCAATTTGAGCGGACAGAAAGTGCAACTCGCGCTGGTAATGAGGGATAGTTCGCTGGCCGGGGTTTGGAATTCAAGGGTGTTATTTTGTAGAGGGATGACGCGTTTCGCTCAGGTTCTCCTCGCGCGTTTCTTGAGTCATTTAACGCGCATTCATTGGCTAATTGGGCGCAGATCAAAACTAGATCTTGACTGTAAAAGATTGCTCTATCTGATGGTCATCAGACCCATGTGGACTTATGGGATTCAATTATGGGGATGGACTAAGAGCTCCAACCGATTAATAATTCAACGCCTGCAAAATAGTATTATTCGTACAATCACTAACGCTAGATGGTACCAGCGAGGACCTACACAGAGACCTAGGCCTGAAGATGGTTAACGACACCATAAGGGACCTTACTAAATCACACGAAAGGAGACTGACTCGCCATACTAATATTGAAGCAATTCTCCTCCTAAACTCCAAAGACGATTTGAGAAGACTCAAACGCATTAAACTTTACAAGCTTACCGTGTAATGACTTAGTAGCATTAAATCAACTTTAAAAGGAAGCTGAACAATGATTTGGTCCCTACAGGTTAATTCAATTCTCAATTAGCGTTATTACTTATTTGAACGATGGTTTAAGATTGTAATACACATTATTAATAAAAAAAATTTAACGCGCATTCAAGGTGCATTAACGATTAATGCGTTCGATGAAGCGAGACTCGAGACGGCGAGGAACGTACGAGAAGAACCGGAGCGTCAGGAGAACTCATTCAGGTTGGGAGTGTTATCTCGTACCTTTCGGTGTCTTGGACACTGAAAAAAATCGTGTTGATCTCTCATTAGAAATTGTGTTCACGCGATGAACTTTCACTCGAAAAGTCAAACGACCACCGAGTCCCTCGAATTCGAGAGATTCTTCACTCACGTAGAGCGCGGATTCTCCATCCTGAGTTTGTCGAGTGAATATTTTCGCTCAAAAGCAAAGGGGGAATCTAATGTACTCCACCATAGGAGAAAGAAAATTACTGATAATTTGTTCATAAACATTTGGAAAAATAACACATTTGACTGAAAATCTTACAGGTCCGTCTCAACTGACGTCGATCGGCACATTTATAACGCGTTAGGTTATAAAAGTTATACAGAGTGTCTGAGAAATTTTGGCCTAACCAATTTGTACAGATAGAACAGATGAAATTGAAGGATAAAATCGTATAGTATTTTCTAGAAATAGTTATTAAGTTATTAATTAAAACGTCTGGCCAAAACTATAAGCCTTGACAGAAATACAAAGACAATAGACGAGACAAATGACTTACTTCTGAATACTCGATAGCAAAGACAATCAGTAGAGATGTGCGAACTATTCGAATTCGAATCGCATCGAATCTAATGTAATTCGATTCGATTCGAATCCGAATCCCTATGATTCGAATCTGAATAATCCGAAAATTTCGAATCGCGAAGATTAAAATACGAATCAAATACATTGGCGCTTGCGCGCATCAGCTACAAAACGGGCCATCTGGGCCTGTATGTTTGAACCCTTAACTTGTAAATAACTTAACTTATAACTAATAACTTAATTATAAGTTAATTATAAGTTAACTTAATTATAAGTTATTTTAAATATTTAAATATATATTTATTTTAAGATGATATTACAATATCAATATCTTTTTTATATTAAAATCTTCCATCATTATTTGCATGTTTAATAGTCATGTTCAATTTTTTAACAATTCGATTCGATTTCATTCGATTCGAATTCGAATGAAATTTCATAGATTCGATTCGAATCGAATTCGAATTTAAAAAATGAGATTCGATTCGATTCGATTCGATATAAAAATTCTTGATTCGCACATCTGTAACAATCAGCTGATTCCATGAGACGGATCAACACACAAGATCCTTTCCTCGGCAAGGTGTACTGACGCACCAGCTGTGCTCTATAATCATGCACTAAAGACCCAGTCTCACATAACCTTTGCGCTGCACGTAAAATCACTTTTCTCGACGGATGTCTTGCACGCTCGGGAAATCGCTCCGCGTAGGCGCGAGCTGCGGCATGCGCATTTTCGCCCGTAAGCCCGTAAGCAATAATCATATCGGTGTAATTTTCTGGAGTAAAGGACCCCGCACAAACGTTATGGAAATTCCCCGGTCCCGGTGAATTTGTCCGAAACTTTGGGAAATGATAGTTTTCGTCACGCTGATAAAAAGTTGTCATTGCACCAAATTGATTTATTGCGTCGTTTAGGCGCTAGAGTTGTTTGAAAATCAGGAATTGTGTGGTATTCCATACCATGAGTACCATATCAGCTGCATATACATATATATTTATGCATATATGTATGCATGTGTGTGTGTATGTATGTATGTATGTGTGTATGTGTATATGTTTATGTGTATGTGTGTATGTTTCGTGTGTTTGTGTATGCATGTATGTATTTTCATAGAAACAAAACAACAATTATAATATATTTTTTAAGAAGTTTCACCCAATGTGCGTTACCCAATGTGCACCATGTGGAGGTTGCTCGATTATAATTGCTTCACTTGGCGATTCTATCGACACGCACTCCCCGGTGTAACTTGAAAGCTTGAACTCGAGACCGAAGCGAGATCGAAGCGAATATAAGACGTACGCGGAGAACTTTTTATATCACAGTTTCCCCTCACACGAGATCAGGTTCGAAGCAGCCTGAGAACAGCCTCGTGGAAATGAAGATATAGACGGCAAAGTCACTTGTTATGTTGCGCGATATTTACCATACGTTACTGCTGGCACAAATATAATATCTAAGTAGCAGCGAGTCAG